GAATCTGAAATGTGAATATTGGAAACATAGATTGCATAATACTATTCATTGTAACAAGTGGAAAGTGCCTCTTGGGATCAGCTGATTGCCTTCTGTTGCCATTGAAGTAAACTGTTATCCAGAAACTACTTCAGATCAGAAGTAACTTCATTTGTATCTAACATATAAGTGTCTTACCACAGGTCTGAAGTGCTTTGACAGATCACTGGCATCCCTCTCTTAAGTTTTCCTTTCTCAAAGAGAAATTAAAAGTCAAAGAGTCTTACAGCATTGCCTGGAGGACTGAGTTTTTTCGGTATTGCCCTGCTCTCACTAAGAGAAAATGGTATATTGGTACTGGTATTCTTCTGCATCCTACTGCATTGCTTTTCTGCATGTCAGAAAAGGATAGGAGAAAGTACAGGTAGCATAGAGTAATGACCTGGTTTAAATGGCATTCCTTGCTGTTCTCTCCTTGTTCGTGTTTTAATATACTTTAAAATACTATTAAAATTCACTAAATGGTCCGTGGTAGTGGTTATTGGTACTTTGCAGCTCAGGGAGTTGGCCTTTGCATCTTTGCGTAGATGCTTCAGTTTTAACCCAGAGATGAACTCGTTTTGTTTGTCTGTTATGCAGTGTGATAGCTGTTGTCTACAAACAGACTTGCCAGTGGTAAAAATACATCCATCTGCTCATCCTTCGTGGGCTGTTCATTGCTGTCTGAATTGAAATATTGCCCTTTTAAAAAGTTAAAAAGAGCAAGGGAAGGAAATTCAGTGCTTTCATTCAGTTAGAGCAGGGATCAGGTTTTTGTACACGTTCTAGAAATGAACATTTAAAAATTCTAGAGACATCTAGACAAAGAAGGTAAAACTACATATATTCTATTTTTTCTTCATCAAGTCTCAAACCCATTTTGAGGAAGGACCTAAAAAAGAGACATATGGTAGCGGAGAAGGTACTAGGTTGTATAGTTAGATAGACTTGATAAAAGCAAAACAAAGGACTCCAAGTTGTTCCTTTTTTCTTAGGTTAACAAGTCATTCATAGCATACATAAACATTCAAATAGTTAATCTTATCACCATTGACATAGGTTCTTCTATAGTGCTACACGTGAACAGAAATACTTTGCCCAAACTCTGTATATGAAGGATTGTGGCAATTATCTTCTGTCTGTATTTAAACTTTGAGCTTGAGTAGTCTGCACTTAAATATGTGAAATAGAATCATAGAATGGTTTGGGTTGGATGGGACATTAAAGATCTTGTAGTTCCAATGCCCCTTTCCATGGGCAGGAACTTTACTGTTCTCATTATGCCCTCTCACTAAGTAGTACTGTGCTTTTGAAACCAGTCTTATTGTTACAGATTATAAGCACTTAATAGAAATTAGTTTGAGTGCTACTAATACTACTGTTACACTGCAAACTGAACTTTTCACATAGGCAAAATTTCATGTCCTAGTAAGGGCCTTTTCAGCTTGGGGTATTAATTAATTCCTTTCTCCTAAACATTGAGGACATTTCCCAGGAGCTCTGAAAACATCCAAGGGCATTTTGTTGTCCAACAACTTGGATCCTAGTTCATTTTTATTTATAAGAATTCATGATCTTAGCCAAGCAGCTAAATCTAAAAGTAGATGTTTGTCTGTGTGTCTCATTTGAGAAACATGAATGAGTTGTTATTCTGGGGCAAGTTGAGGTCCTTGCATGTTGCATGTTTCCTTGCTGGGTGCTGCTGGGTTGGTTTGTTTGTGGGTTTTTTTGTTTTGTTTTGTTTTTTTATTGCTTTTTTTTTTTTTTTCCAAAACACAGCTGGAGCAGAATGTACCTTTTCGAAGATAGATTAATGGTTAAATCATTCACTGAAAGCCTCTCACAAATTCTAGCTTTGTTTCCAAATGTGCTGGATCAAAATGTGTGCCATTTGTGGAAATGTATTTGCACACCATATTATTAAACCCAGGATGTTTTTAAGAAAGGCTGTTGGAGCAAATGGCTTGCACTAATGAACTATCAGAGATGCTTGAAGGAGTATAACAATTTTCAGATTACTACTGTGTGTATTGCTGAAGAGTTCATGTACCTCTTTTTGTTTAAAGTAAGTCTGCGTGTCCCTCTTCCAAGGCCCACTCCACATACTCCAAGTAGAAGTAACTGCTGCTAATACAAAGGGCTGTTGCTCAGTTGTCTGCTAAAGCAAACCTCTCGGAACACACGTTAACTTTTCTTTCCCAATAAATAAGGAGTTTGGGTTTCCACTGCTGTGCTGATGTTTAAACTAAAAAGCATGGCCCGGCTACCTGTGTTTGTCCTTCCATGATGACTCACTTTGCCAGGGTCCTGAAGCAGTTTCATCAGAAGAAGGAGCTTTTTTTGCAGTTCTTCTGCCTGACACAAGACACTCCTTGCTGCATTAGTGGAAGTGAGCCCTGCTCTCACCTGCTTCTGAACTACGTGGAAATCCTGTCCCTTGAGCAACTCAGGAAAAAATGCTATCATCTATGAATTAAATCCCCCCAAATCTTGTCCTTTTGACAGGGCCAGAAGTGGTTTCTGTGCTCACATTTCAGAGGGAGCACTGAAAGAACAGTGTTGATTAACCTGATGCGTGCTGTTTGCTAGCCCTGCTTGCCTTTTCCCTGACTGTATCAAACAATTAAAACCACCAAACACTGAAATCCTACAGTCAGTTCTATGCAATAAACTGATGGGCTTGAGTGGAGTCAGCTATGAGCGACTGTAGGAACGAAACAGTCTCAGACACAACTGTTTTAGGAAAATAGGATATGATGAGAATGATAGCACTTTTTTTTTTCCCTGTTGGGTTTTGCTGTTATTTTTGAGATTCCATAAATTAAAGGAGATAGTTTTTCAAGGGCTGATGTAGTTTGGGTAGGGATCTTGTATAAGTGGATATTAAATCTGTTTGCAAGCTGGACCTCCTAATCTTCTTAAAAGGATTTTGGCAAGAGAGTTAATGCTTATTAGTACTTGTCAGCTAGTGCACAGTCCAAAAAAAGGGAATGGATGAAAATCTTACTTGAAATAGTTCAAAAGAGGGCTGTTGTAGTTGATTGTGGTTTGAAGTGGTAAGAGAATGTCACTGTGATGTAGAAGCAACTGCATACACCAGAGAATTATTATTCTCATCTGTGGTTAATAAGGGTAAATTGGAGTATGAATGAGGATGGAGATTTAATCCCTCCTAGACGTAATTTAATAAGAAAGATGAGAGACAGAGATTTAGTGTGAGTAGGATCTGGCCTTCTTCCCTCAGACAAAGATTTGGATCCCTTAAGTCTTTGATTTCAAAGAGGAGTCTTGAAAAAAACTCTTGTTGGAAGGAGTGCTTACACTGTGGGTGTAACAATAAGGTGATGAAGATACGTATTTGTGAACTTGGTCTTTGTTCGTTATAGCTACCTGACTTCTGTTCATTATAAGCTCATCCTCTGGCTAACAGGACATTTTTGTCAGTAAAATTAACTAGCAGTAACTGAGTGAGTGATAGGTCTAATGATCACTGACAGTTGTCTGTCTTTCTGGTATGCCTTTATACATAAATGATTTCTGCATCTGATCCAGTATGATCTCCTAGGAAAGTTCTGTGTTTCTTTCTGTGCATAGTGGTAGGCGTTTGGTCTGTTCTAAAAAATTCTTTCTGATGCTGTCAGCTAGTGGTTGGCTTACCTGCTGATTCATAACGTTTGATAATCACATTTAAAATGTATGTTATAGAGCTAATTCACTCTAGTGTCATAAATATATAGTAATTTTCTCACCCTGTTGAACTGCTGGTCCACATGCTACTTTGGTGGAGGCAATTCTACAGTTCTGTTTTTCTTGAATGTTACTGTCATAGTTTTTAAATATTTTAAACATTTGAATTAAAACTCTTTACCCCTGCCGATGAAGACTTAAGATTCTTGCTTGCATATTTAATTTGTCCAGCATTAAGAGACAGGAACTTTGTGACAGAGAATATACTTATTAAAGTTGTCTTTCTTGCTTGCAAGTGAGAAGATGCAACAGTTAAGATAGTTAATACTCAGTAAAATGCAGAAGAGAGACTTGGATACAGGAGTTACTGCTGGTATCTAAAGCTTTTTTTTTAGCCAGGTAGAGAACTTTTGTTTAGGGCACTGATTCCACAAACCTCTTGTATGTTTGGGCATCTGTTTGTTCATGTTCCCTTACAAACCTAAAACTATATATCATTCTAAGCTCTTTAGGATAAGTATTGTATCATCATACATACTTTTACAGTAATTGCTACAGCAGGACTTTGGTGATAAATGTGTGTCTGGATGGTGCCTGTGTTGAAATGATGATAATCATGCTCTGGTTGATAAAGGGCAGTTGTTAGGATGCTTTGGAAGGGTTTCATTATGTAGCTGTGAAATGCGTTTTAATTGGTGTACGTTATAGTGTGACATTTAACACAAACATTTTTAAGTTGGGTGCATGTGGGTGGGGATGATTATCTGAAAAAGCCCTGCAGAATTGTGTCCTTTGTTTTTTGCAGACCTTTGGAACGTTCTAGTGAAGATGTAGATATAATATTCACACGACTGAAAGAAGTGAAAGCTTTTGAGAAATTTCATCCAAACCTTCTCCAGCAGATATGTCTCTGTGGATATTATGAAAACCTGGAAAAAGGAATCACATGTAAGAGAGCTTCATATGATTGTCTGTTTTATGTAGATAAAACTGGGGATTAGGCTGCGACTGTCTTTAGGAGAGCAATGAGAGCACAATCAGTGGAACAGCCATAAAATGTTTACATAGTCATGGGGCAAGGCAGGACTAATGTGCTGCTTGATCTACAAATGCAGTGTGTAGTGAATCTATGGTAACAAGGCACGCAGTTGGATGTAGGACTCTCCCACTGTTTGGCTGAAATATTACAAGCCAGTCATTGGACTTAAGCCTCATTCTTGCCCTATAAATGTATTATTGATCTCTTTTGTAGGTGCTCTGTGCTGTCAGGGACAAAGGTGTATCACCTAGGCATACCACGAATAGCGTGTTGTTTCCAGTCACGCTGGATAGCACAAGCCAGCTTTGCAGAGCTCCTGTGGAGTGCAGCAGCTCTGTGCCTGCCTGGCAGCCGTTGTGCCAGGTGAAGGTGGACAGCTGTGCTTGTTCTGTGAAGCTGAGATGGAAATAAGTGGTGGTCTTGTGTTGGGATTGTGTACCAGGGGAATAGCTGATGAAAACCTGTGGTATTTAGTAGTGTCTCAGATACGTCTCAGGTAAATCTGGCATGCTTTAGGCACACAGCACTGGGGTTTGTGTAGAGTAATTGGAATTTCAGTTCTTTGTAATCAAAATCCTGCAGTTGCTGCTCAGCCAGAACTCTTAACTGAAGTCAGTGGTAGCTGTGTCTGCATTGGGAGATTATGAATTTCAAAGGAACATTGTTCAGAAAATCTTTGTTTTGATTTGTTTGGTTTGTTGGTTTATTAACTCAGAGAGCAGTAAAAGAGAAGCAAACTGGGGAGAAGAGTGCAGCTGTTCTATGTGCTTTCATTGTTTCCATAGTGTATTGACCAGTTGACTAAAATACATGCTTTCCAGTGTCATTGGAAATATTACTCTAAGAGTAAATAAGTAGTCTGATATAAAAAATTGTACAGTCCCGGCAGTGAGCGCACTGTTGCAGTGTATGGGTGAAAATGTTTGTTAATGTTGCTAAACTTAAAGAGATAGCTCTTATTTACAAAGTTTCATCTTTCCAGTATTCCGTCAGGGTGATATTGGGACGAACTGGTATGCTGTTCTGACAGGATCACTGGATGTGAAAGTTTCTGATACAAGCAATCACCAGGTAAACATATTTTTCATTGAAACCCTCCAGCTGGTAGTACAAAGAATGAATGACCTATATTGTACAGATATTTTGTCATTGTGTCTCTGAGTCTCTTTTAGTCTCAGTTGTCCTTTGTCTGTGGAGGCAAATCATGCCACTGATTTCATGAAAACTGGAATGTAATGCTCTGGAAAAAGGTCTACATTTTAATATGAAACAAGACTCCTCTGTCTTTCTAATAGTGCCATATGAAGTTAAGCTAAAGATCTAAGTGTTGTTAATTCATTCCCTGGAAATATTGGAATTCAGTTCTTGTTCAGAAAGTTCAAATCAAACCCAGCAACAGTTCAGTTTGATAACAGCATAGTGCAGTTCTTCACTGCAAGACTGGGAAAGTATTATAGTAATAGCAGAGTATTGGAACTGCTGCTATGTCGGACTAGAAGCCTGAAGGTAGTTACCTATTCAGTGTTACACAATAGAAGAGCAAGTAATCTCCTCAAATTTCAAGCAATTTCTCAGTACCTTGGTGCTCCTGGGTTTACAAAAATTAGAGTAAATAAAAATCTGAAATGATGAGATATTTTTCCTGGTGAGAGTTTCCCACCCATGTTATCTAATGTCATGCTGTCAAGTCATGCACTTCCTGCTGTGAGCTCAGTCTTCTGAGAAGACTATTCCATGCTCCAGTGTTTGAGATCTGATTTTCCCATCAATGTAGCTCAGCCTGGGGTGTACCTCTGACATGGGACTCAGTGTGCCTTCATGAGTGGTAGAACTACCCAGGACCTGACGTATAACACTGCCTGTTTTCCCCACCTTGACTGAGTACAGTGTATGTAGGGAGTGGTGGTGGTGCAGTCTTTGCCCAGAGTTTGGCTGATTGAGGAAGGTTTCATGCTCATAGCACATACTGGTGTTTCTCACTTTGTTGAGCATCACATCACCATTGAAATTGGGTCAGAGTGCAAGTCAAGGCATTGTGTGAGTGAATACTGCATCTTTCTACTTCTTGCAGTAAAATGAGAGATGCAAAAGGAGCTTCTTTTATATAATTATTTTTAGCAGCCTCTTCGCTGTACCAAGTAGAGAGTGAGAATATAATTAGCCTAATTTGAGCAATTCTGGGCATGACCTGGCTGTCATTGGTATTGTCACAATTTGGAACAGTACTGGACTCTTAGGAAACCCTTCTCTGTGCAGGTCTAAAGCAATCAGGAATATTTTCTGGTGTTTGCCAAAAGATGGCACTGCACTGTTGTTGAGGATTAATGCTCTTTACTGATTCAGAAAGGAATGCATCCACACAATCGTTTTGGATATGGAAGTTAAATTAAGAATCTGTTTGGAGTGTTGATTTGCTCCATTAGTTGGAACACTGTAGTCTTCTAATGAATATAATGTAAATATTTTTTTCTGCTGGTTCAGGTTCATTTAATTTTCATGCCAATAGGAAACTACAGAACTACAGTTCGTGTAGTGCTAGTTCTAGAAATTATATTCTGCAGTAATTTCTTAACTTCACAGGAGCAATGAACTGAATTCTTACCACTTGCCATAGGATACATCCTCCTTGCCAAAAGGACAGCAGCTTATGCTTTTACCATTCCTCTTTGCTTAAGTTTGGTGTTTGGAGACTCCTAAATACTAGTTGTGTCCAATATTTCCTCTGGTTTTGCTCCAGCTTGGTGTTTATACCATGTCCCTCCTTGTCCATTCTTGGTCTCCTGCTTCTCCTGCTTGTAGCTCCTGGGTGTTCCCATCTTTGTACTTACTTGTTGACATGGGGCTGGTTCATTCTTGAGCTTGAAGTACTTGCTAGCACTCCCTGCCTGCTGTGCTCTCTACAAACTCAGATGATGGAGGGAGTACAGACTCAGTTGCCAGTATTGTGCTCCCAACTGGGAATGGATGAGCAGTGCTTAAGATGTAGGGGTGCTTGCAACCTGCCTTAGAACACATTTTCCAATAGCAGCATCCAGGAGCCAAAACTTCCTTTGCAAAGTCATAGCAATGACTAATTGCTCTGCTCTTACTATTACACCATAAATGTCAGTAATGCTAATGAGAAACTTCCAGCAGAGCAGAGAAGATGCAGAAGTCATATGTAGTTACATGTCTTGCACTAGAAATTATATCTTAATGTGCTAATGGATCAGGGCTTCAATGTAGCTAGTGAAGTATTAATTAACACACATTCTTGCTGCACATTAGTTTCGTCATGTAGATGCCTGTGATTTCTCACAGAAAACGTTAGTAATACTGATTAGGACCAATCTGAGAATTCATATAAACAGAAATATTAACATTAACTATTATTTGATATAATTATAAGAGGAACCATTTTATCTACTGATTTAAGTGCCTTAGTAAAGACAAACTTAAATTTAGGACCTTGTAGATAAAGCTTTGCTTTCATCCTGGTCTGGAAAAATCCTTCTGGGTGCTTGCTGAACTGTGTTCTGTCACAGGAGGGCAGTGTTAGAATACATAACAAACCAAGTGCAAGGCCGTGCTCGATGCTAAAATGGATAGTTTGAAAATCATATTCGACTATTTACCACATACCTGTTCTAAAGAGTTGGGCCAGAGCCAATTTCTCTGTTACTGTTAGTTATGTTCCACTGAGGTGGTGATTTCATTCGCCATTGGAATGGGTACAGGGATTGGGCAGGTTTACCTTCCTGTACATCCTGAATGGTATCTGGTCTGCTTTCTATGCAAACTGTTAATGAATTTTCTGTGCATTCAGCAGTCAAGAAGAGACTGAAGAGAACTTTTTTTAAGGTAAAATTGTCCCACTGTGAATTGCCGAGGTAGCTGTAATTAACTGTTTTGGTCTTGCCTCAACTTGTTTGTAACAAATACCCTGATAAATGTTGTACTCAAAAGTCACAGAAAGACATAGTTAAGTCCCCTTCAAAATAAACAGAAAATGCAGCCTCTTTAGAATCTGTTAGAAAGAGATTGTTAGGCTCAGTTATGAACAGATTCTGAATTTAATTTGTTTCATACTGTTGCCTACCCAATGTTACAACTGAGGTAGAGAGTAATAAAAGTTCCTCTCAGAGTTATTCCTGGTTTGGTGTTGTCTTAAAAATACTGTTGACTGCCTTGTGTCTGTTTAACTTCTTAACTGTTTTGAAAGTGATCAGGGTCTCAGAATGACTGTTGGCAATGTCTCAGAATAAAGCTGGGAATAAATGCATTATGACAAAAGCATCAGTGTCATTGTTGTCAGATTCTGCAACATTTGCTGAATTAGATTCAGAGCCTTTTACCCCAAATGACTAAGATTTATATTCCTGTCTGATGAAATGTGAAGGAGTGAAGAGGATAAAGACCAAATAGCAATTTGATCTGCAGTTTTGCTGTGGTTTGCCAGCTGAATCATAATGTGTGTTGGGGGCTGTTGCCAACTTATCTTGCCGATGTTTTGGTGGAGTTTATTTAAGCTGACCAATTTTTAAAAACAGACCAAGTCTGTTTTTAAGGCATTTACTTAACAAACAATTAGCCCTTTTTAGAAGAGCTTTAAAGGAGAATCTGTGAGTGCTTGGATGGTACATCAGTGTCGGTTGTAAGAAGATGCAGAGGGCTGGGCATGAAAAGGCAAATTAGTGAGGCTGCTGAGAAGAATGATTGTGAAGAAAGAGGTTCAGATGTCCATGTAAGTAATGGAAAGTTTTCACAGCTGTTTGGGGACAAAGGAGGGTGAAGTGGCAACAGGGAAAAGGATTTAAACAGGACAGTCCTTGGAATATTGCTTTCTGCACGTAAATGCCATTATGTGCTTGGGAGATAACCTATGTGAAGTTGTGACATAGGTTTGTACTGTAGTCTGTAGTGTAGTGTAAATATGCTCAAGCTGGCTTTAAATTGTTTTGTTTGAGCATGAGAACTACTCTGCCCATTGTAACACAGAGATTGACTGGACTAATGCACTCAGCTGACAAGCAGGGTATGCTGGGTCATGCTGAGCTCCACAGTGTCATGGTTGCGCTAATTTTGGTTTTGAACTTAGTTTATTGAAAGTTAATACAGAAAAATCGTTCCACTTGTGTCTGCCAGGTGACCTAGGAAAAAGTCCAAGACATTGCAGGTAGCTTTTAGAGGATCAGATAGAAAGATATGAAAATAATGAATATGTTACTACAGTACAGTTAATCTGATCCATAAATATTTTAATTAGGAACTAGAAGAGAAGCTGGTCACAGCCTTTCTGGAAGAGTAATGCCTCCTTTGAGCAAATCCTCTTGTGTTGTGAGAAGAGGGAGGCCTAACATATGTTGGCAAACTGTAGTTCTAGTGTGGAAGTTATTTCTGTGTTATAGTTAGAAGTAGTTTGATGAGGATTTCCTTTCTGAATGGCTGAAATGCTCCAGTGAAGGTAATGGAACAGAAAAATCACTTCATAGATAGTTTACTTTCATGTGTATCCTTTGGTTTCTCTGTTATAAAAGGAAATTTTTGCTGAGAACAAACTGAACTGTATCAAAGTAATAATAATAAGCAAACTTCTCTAAATGCCAGCTTTTGCAGATCCCCAGTTAAACATGGAGATAGTGTGGTGTCCCAGGTGAGATAAAGGTGTAAGGTGTGGGAAAATGATAAAATTAAAAACAAACTAGCTACATCAACTCCTTTATAGAGTCAAAATGTTGAATAAACTAAGATTTCAAAGAAATGTCCCCAATCCCTTAGAGCCTAGCACCATATTTTCTTTATTTCTCTTCCAGACACCATGGTTTTATTTACACACAGTACAAAGATTCTGTTTGCCAGGTTGAAAAACAGAAGGTGTCACAATTCAGGGAGGAGCATGCTGGGATAGCTTTGTGATGCTGGGGGAGGGAATAGGGCAGAGCTTTGTTGCTGATTCTCATCCATTGCATAGAATGGTCTTACAAACTCAATAATGTTTTAGATTGATGGGGGGGAGGGGAGAGGAGGTTTACCAACTCTCACTGCTTGTGTCTCACTTGGCAGGAAGAATCAGTGATGCTGAATACACAAACAGCCTCTGATTTGAATGCTGCCGTTTTATAGTGTGTTCAGAGGACAGATAAGAGACAGCAGTGGAAATAATCTCATCTTTTCGAGTCTCTAATTCTGCCTTTTAAATAGCTGTGTGACGTAGCTGGTTCCCAGCGGCTAGAACCCTGTCCTTCTTCTGGGATTGCAGAGGGGAACAGCAAACTGAGTTTTGAGCTGCCAGTAACCCTCCTGAAGTCTACACTGAACAGCAGGAGATTCTTGAGTGTAAGGTTAACTGGCCTAAGAGGAAACACACCTGATTCTCCAGGAGGCTGGAGATATATAAACAAGAGGCAGTGAGAAAATGGGGCTCTGAAGTCTTGAAGAAGTCATATGTACCTTCTCCCTGTGTGAAACTGCACCCCTATGGGGAGCAGCGATGGCTGGGGAAAAACTGAAAGAACTGTCACTTGATAGAAGCCTGGACCTTTCTTTGATGAATGTGGATAGAACCATTCCAGCCTCTTGACCTGACACCCCACAGTGTTAATTTATTTCTCAAGCTGAACAGCTGCCTCATCAGAAGTTATCTTATGAAGTCATTCCTTAACCAACACCTTTCTTTTCCTCTTCTTGTCTCTGTTCTGTCTTTAGAATCAAAAAAGGTGAACTGTTTCAAATCAATTTTATTTTTTTGGAGGGAGTGAGAAAGAAGTTCAAAGATGTAAATATTGTTTATTATGATCCTCCTAACAAAAGAGTTTCTTTTATGCCAGGCTGTTTGGTTGTCCTGCGCTAAACAGAGTTCTTTTATCCGAACTTTCTAAAAAAAGTTGAGAATAATGTATTGGAGACCTGGAGATCAAGTTTTGAGTGAGCAGTAGGGACATTTTCTTTGTAGCTCCTTTGAGTGCAGTTGTGAGTATGCATATAGTGTTGCAGCTCTGAAGCGTAAGCTTGTTAAGGCAGAACTTTAGTGTCTAACCCGTGTTATAGTCTGTTTGTAGAGACTTCTTCTATTTAGGTGCCTAGGTGCTCATTACCAAATGTTCTTCCTTTTAAATAAAATCTGCTCTTATTTGCCTTCCTTGAAAGTTTATTTCTGACAGTTGATAAATTCTTCCTGAGACATAATTGATTTTGTTTTCCTGAACACCTAATTTTATATGTTAGTGTGTAAAAGCAATTTGCTATGATTTGGGAACTGGACTATTAAGCACTCTTTATATTGTAATTATAAAGGTACTAACTTGATCTCAATGTTTTCCTATTATGATTTATTAGATGCATGAAAGGAAAACTGCAATTTTAAGTAGAGAAAATGGTGCTGAAATATGCTCACACATCTCTCCTGCATTATCAGCCACAAGGATAACTAAAGTTTCTGCTTTGATTTTTGTAGGCATTGTATGAATCCTACATTTTAGAATTAAACTGTATTTCTAATGTTGTATCAAGTACAGTTAGTATGTATTTTTATATGTTTATATATATTTGTGTGCATATATGATGTCCTTAGTAAAGGGCAGTATATGATTTTACGTTTTGAATGCTGTTGCTAGTTTTAAAAATTGCTTAACAGTCAATTAAGGTCCATCTTAGAAAAAGGCATATGTAAGTGTTCAGCTTCAAGCCTGTGCTCGGGAACGTAGCAACTCATAAGCCTAAAATAGGACATGTGTCTAAAGATCTTGATTCAGCAAGTTGTGTAATTGCTAGTAGTCTGATTTTTTTGTCTGCAGCAGCTCATAATTTTTATTGGAACTGTTGTAGAGGAGTTCCTGGCCAAGGGGGATTCATTTAGACATCTTTGAATCACATGAATGGCACAGGGTCATAGACTCTTTTGCAGTGTACTTTACTGCTTGCTTGTTTAGGACCCTTCCAAATACTCTATACATGAATACAGCTATTCCAGGTTGTTTAGGATTTTAGTCGTTTTCTTGAAATCCCTGACTTGTGTGAAAAGAATTTTTTTTTCCCTGATACTTAATTGTCAAACATCCATTAGCAACTAAGAGATGTACTGGCACTTTCAGCAGAGAGGCCAGGAGTTGGTTAAACTGTACAACTGCATTGCTCATAGACCTTGTGCACAGAGAAATGCATTATAAATACAAGAGGATGTTATGCTTGAAAGTTATGTTTACTGAGAAAACATAAAAGGCAAATTTTCTTTCTGATGAGGGTAGCCTATGGAGGACAGAAATTTATATTCCAAGATTGCATTTCTGTTCTAGTTCTCATTTCTTCACCTCTGACATTCCTAAAGATCTCATAATCACAGCAGTGTTTAGAGGTGGATGAACAGAGGTCCTGATTTTCTTCTGAAGGTGAGGGTGTTTTCTGTGTTTTCTGCTTTGCAGACAGAAATGTCTAATTCAACTGATGGTCATAGAAGACAGAAGTCCTCCTCGTTTCCACATTAAAGCTTCCTGTGTTGTTAATCAGCATACTGATTTTTTTTATCGGCACTTGAGTTAATTTTCATTTACAGCAGATTGCTGAAGAATCTGAAGGCAGTGCTGTTAGAAAATGTGGCATAAAGACACTTAAAACTTCCAGAATATTTAATACGTGTCCTTTTTTTTTGATTCAAAGGATGCTGTGACAATATGCACTCTGGGAATAGGAACTGCTTTTGGAGAGTCCATTCTGGATAACACTCCTCGCCATGCTACCATCGTTACCAGAGAATATAGTGAGCTCCTTCGGATTGAGCAGAAGGACTTTAAAGCACTTTGGGAGGTAAGTTCAGATTTATTTGCAGTAAATGCAGAATAAAAATGTGGCTTCACCTTTTAAATTTTGTAAAGAAATATAGACAGATTTATACCACAAGCAAAGTATATTTCTTTTAAATTGGCTTGGAGAAAAAAGGAAAGTTTTTACTCCTTTTTAGTGTTTCATATTCTGCATGATTCTCCTGTATTTCTTTCTTGTGGGCCTCTTCTGGTGAAATAACTTAGGTGAAATGTCTGGTAGAATTTATTTGTGTACTGCAGGTGTTGCTTTCTTAGCCTTAAACTTGCTTTTCTTGCCAGCATTTATGGGGAGAGTCTGTCCTTAATATACTCTGAAATTTAAAATTCTCCTTTACTCCTGTCTCATCAGCAGCTGTAAGGGGTTTAGAATTTGCAGATGGATCAAGATCACTTAAAAATTAACTTACTGATTACGTGTGAATTCCCTTAAAACTTTCCTTTGTGGAGAACATACTGCTGAGGTTCTTCATTCTGTAATCTGCATGTACTTTGGTATCCATGCAGAGAAGACTTCATTAACATGTCGCTGTGCAGAGTTACTGTACTTGAATCTGTTTGCATTTTTGTAAGCATTACATTTGGTTTGAAAAGTGTTCTGGGAATTGGGAGCATCCTGTTGGCTGGGCCTACACTACTGCCAGTTTGTACTGCCAGCTTGTTTTAAGTGGTGACTGTACAAGTGTAGGTGTTGTGCAGAGCTGTCAGATGGTGTGAGAGTGTCCTAAACTTTCAGGTCTAGAGTCACTAGCTATATTTAAGAAATAGGTGCTGGTTGTAGCATTTTAGTTCAGCTTCTCTCCTAAGTGCAGAGAGGTATTTTTTTTGTCATTCTCTTTTCCTAAGAAAGAGCAGTATTATACTCCAAATAATTGTCCTAAAGTCGCTGTCAGAAAAAAGTCAAATCCACAACTAGCTATACTGACAGAGGAAGCAGCACTCCCATCAGCTGTCTGCAAATATGTTGCCTTGAGCGTAGCTAAGGGTGCATCTTGACCAAGGCATGAAACATTCTTACCATTGGATGCTCTGACAGTATCAGATACCATTATTTGAGTTGCGTAGCCATGATTTGTCCTGTTTTTTTTGGTAAGTTCTACAGCTAAAATAAAGTGTTAGTAAAGCCTTGTAGCAAATGTGAAGAATTTGACAAGGCAGTATTTTCTGCAGTTGACAGTTTTTGTCTCTACAGCAGCTGCATTATAGTTTTAGGTCCTGGCATTAGAAGGTGAAATATGCCAGTGAGTGGTCTCATCTGTTTTAGCATATGCTGCACTTGCCAGTGGACAGAAATTTGTTAATGTAGATAGTGCTTTAGGAGCTCACAGTGGAGGAGAATAAATCCAATTGTAGGTTTCTTTTTTTCTAAAAATCACTTTTAATTGGTATGAGTGGAGTCATTTCTCCTACGGATATGACTCTCCTGCTAAGCATTCAGAGGTTGTTGTTTTCCTATCAGGAATATAGGGTGAATGGAGGTTAAGTTCCCTTCTTAAAAAATTTGAACCTTAAACCAAAAAGTTGTTTTTAAGCAAAAATGCCAACATCATTTGCTCTTTAATCACTAATACAGTGTTGTTTCTGGCAATTTTGCTGATTTTGCTGAGTTTTTTGATGATAGAGGCTTTTGGGAAAGAATATGTGTGTTGAAGGTATTGGGAGCAATCATAGGGAACTTCAGCACATCTTGTGTGTTGCAGCTTTTATGAATCTGTGCAGTAGAACATGTAACAAATGCTGCAGGTGTCAGTCACAGACCACAGTTTAGCTTTGTGGTGCACCTTTACCTTTTGTGTGGTTTCAGGAGTGAACTTTGGATATATTTTGGTGTGCATTCTTTCAGGGAGACTATCTCTGTGCTCTTAATGAGTGGAAAATTATGCCATGAAGTACAGCTTTGCTGGTTAGTCTGAGGTAGAATTAAGCTGTTAATTTTTTCAAGGCAATATTTACTTCCTTGCAATCTACTAATCCCAGAGCCTACATAAGCTGCAGCGAAGTATGACAAACAGAGAATGTTTAAAGCAGGCAGAGAATTATTGAAGAAATTTACCCTCAAATACACTACTAATAGCAGCAGTACTATAATGTTACTATTGTTATTGTTATCTGAAGGAAAGCGAACACTTTTCTAAAGGGAGACGTTTTTGTGTTATGAATGTGACTTTGTCTCTCTACCTTGTCCTAAGATTCATATATCTTTGCTGTGATGAAGTCTGTATGGGGAAATATGGGAAAATGATGTGCCATTCAGGTTTTTAAAAGTGTGCTTTTAAAGAAAGCCCATACAAAGTCAGGAATGGATCATAGATATTTAATATCAGTGGCACTGTGGAAAAATGGGGAAAGGCAACAATGTGTGAGTATCATTACAATCCAGATGGAGTAAAAACTAAAATCTACTGCATACAAATTTAAACTCTCCAAATAATGAGAATTTAATTAATGAAAGAAGTAGTTTCTCCAGGAAAAGAAAAGTTGAATAATTCCGAAATAATGTCATACTGTCGCATAAGAACAGCCTAAATAAATTGCAGGTTTAGAATTCTTAAAATGGTTACTGATTTTAGGTATGTAAGATTTTTAGGATTAATTGTAGAAGTGCAAGCATACATTTTATATATGATTAATTTTTTGTTTGTCTGCTTTTTTCATCTTTTGAGGGAAAGAAAAATCAAAACTCTCTTAGCCAGTTAAAGATTTTTGACCTACAGAGCATGGAAAATCCAGTACTATAGTTTTTAATATTCTTTTTTGGGTTTAGGTTGTGAACCTAATCTTGGAAAATGAATCAGCAGAATAGATTCAGTATTGACTTTTATTTATTGTGTAACTAATCTGAAATGCTAGAACTAAGAGCTGTGAATGATCTCTTACAGTAAATTTTTTTAGCACTGAAACCTACTGATCAAGTTCATACTTGCAACAAGTGTTTTTCTACCCCAGGTCTATGCAGTTATTTGAAAGTCAAATAAATATCCATTTGTACTGCTTATGGAACTTCTGGTATATATACTGGAACTAGATTTGAAGAGATAAGATAATACTTCCCTATTTTAATTTTTTTCTCAGATTAGCAAGAATTTTCAGGATCTCTGAAACTGGACATTGTGACTTTGAAGACTCTTCTGTGTTTTGTGTAAACTGGAAAGTAACTTCTCCTGTATTAGCTGTATTGCTCTAAGAAACAAATGTATGGGTAGAATGTTTCACAGGTCCAATGTTGTTTATTGACATATTTAATGCACAATATACAGCAAAAGTATTAATTTCTTTATGTACTACTGCAATTGGGTCTATACCTGAAAGAAAGAGATAGCTACTAATAAACAGACTTTTTTCCTTTTTTTACAAGTATTCTTCCGTCAGTTTTATAAATTTAAATACTCTTTGAGGGAAAGATAGGATGTTCTTTATCAAAAGCATAGTAAGATGCCTTCTGTAATACACAGAGCCCCATATTCAATCAACCCTTTAAACACAGAAAGATTTTCTCTGACCTTCAGTTTTAACAGTCTGGGAATGCTGGTCTAAACAAATTATATTGCTCTGATAACAGCAATTACCAGTTCAAATAGCCTAGTCTCTCTCTAATGGCTGTGTCTGTTGAAGCAGCATCCTGTTCGGGAACATCTGTTGAACTTCTATGCTTACTCATCCTTGGAGACTTGTTTTCTATCAGTGGCTGTTACAGCAGATTAAAGGTGATTAAATCTCTGGTTAGATTCTCACACATCTGAACTCTGTTTCCTGATGAAGAAGCTCTAGGAGGTTGTGGGAATCCTTGGTGATGTGCATTTCTGCACTGGTTGTCCCTGGCCTTGATCTCCGAGGAGCACTAGCAAACATGGGAAAAGGTTGCTCATTACTGTAACAACACTAGACTTCCAAGGTGCTCTATGAATCTGAGGAAAAGGTAATATTTGTGTTGATAGGAACTTGCTTTCCCTTTTTAGCATGGGTAAGCATGTGTGGAGCTAGCTACCTTGCCAGAAAAAAATGTTTCAAAGCACAAAGGAAAATGCATCCAAAAATAAACATGAAAGCATAAGGCTACACATGAGGAGCCCTGGTCATGCACATCCTGTTACATCACTGGCTTGTCCCACCCCTGATAGTTGGATTCTTTTAAACAGAGCAGGAGTGAAATGAATGCACTTCAGCAGTGTGATCATTACAGAAGTTCTCTGTAGTTCATCCTCAAGCTTTGTCCTTTCATGCAGTTGCAAACTGATTCAAACCTAGACAGGAAGGGAGTGAATCTGCTGAGAGGTGACTTATTTTTAGAGGTCTTTCCTACCACAGTGTATTACTCAGCCTTCCTTGGATAACACACAAATAACCAATTTCCTTTTGTGTGGAATAAGATTATGTTAGAAGTTACTGAACATGCCTTGAGAAACATTTGAACTTGAGTAGATGAAGAACAGCTATTACTCCGGCATGCAGTAACTTTGGAGAGAGGGAGACTTGGCCCCTGTAAGGTCAGAATGAATATTTTAAATTTTTAAAATTCACATTCAGCAGCACTTAGACATCTCTTAGTCTGATAAACTATAGTATAACTTGCTTCCTGCTTTTGTCCATCTGATGTAGCCCTCAGCTGAGTTATCTGCTCTGTAATCATAGCTTTGGGAGAAGCTTTCTTTCTGAGCACTGTGGACCTTAGTTTTTAATGAGGTCATTTAAAAACAGATCTGTCAGGACAGAAGAAATGTTACATATCATTTCAATGGAATGCTGTGAAAGAAATACCTGTGTGGGTTGGCGTGCTGGAACACTGTGCAGTGAGGTTTCATCAGAAGTGAGAGCACAGCTCAGTGCATTTGCATGGAAAAAGGGTTTGTCGCTTTAACGCAGCTCTAATCACACCCCTCACATCGAGCTGTAATGTAGTCTTATGCCGCATTTTATGTGCCAGGATTATGGCAGTAGGAATTACAGAGGCACTGTAAAAAGGCACTAATGAAAATAAACATGTAAGGA